ACACGTCAGTGTGGGGGGAGTGAGGACCTGGAGGTTTGGAAAGACTTGTAGGAAGGATTACAGATTCAGCCCTTTTGAAGTGTTCTGAGGTCATCCCCACTTCATGTAAGTCAAGAAAAATCAGATAAACAAGAATTTTACCAGCTCAAAGAAATTAAAGCAGCAGGTGTGGTGGTGCACATTTGTGGCCCCCGCACTGGGAGACTGAGGCAGGACTAAGTTGGAGCCCACCTGGACAATTTAATGACTTGGGGAGACCCTGTCTTAAATAAGGGCTAGGAATGTAGCTTATTGTAAAGGCCCTAGGCTCAATCTCCCATACCCAGTATGATACACACACACTCATGCGTGTACGCACTGTGCTTGCCTGCATCACAGCACTGCCCATGGTGATCTGTCTGCCCAGAGTGCTTGCGCCTTTCTCCCAGTGAAATTCAACTCACCCTTCAGGGTCAATCCCATCTCTTCAGGGAGTGTTCATTCACTTGTACCCTTTCCAGATGCCCAGATGACCCTTTCCCTACTCAGAGAGAGCAATCTGTTGGCGGGGAAGGGGCCTGGCCCTCCTCAGGTACCCAGTAAGGAGATTGAATATCTGGATTCCACACCCAGGTGCATATGTGGCCTGGTGACTTGGAGGAATTTGAATTCCTGACCTGCCCTTCAAGAGTTGTATGACCTTGGCTGCTGTCTGGAAAAAGACAGTGATGCCACTGCAGGTCTTAACTTTCTCATGTACAGAGGCACCTGTCATGGCTCCTAATACCTGTTATGTGCCCAGTAAGTGGTACCTCTGGCTACTGTTAACAGCCAGGAAGTGCAGGTCCACACGCTTCTGAGAGATGGTGTGCAAAGTAGCTAGAAGTGTGTCCAGGTCCAGCTTAGTAAGGATGCAGGCCGGGCAGTCAATGAATATTCTCTCTTTCCCCCTTTAAATCTAAAAATACTTAGCTGCTAATACTGATAGGACTTTTATTACCTGCTGTTATAAATGTTTACTTTTTTCTGTCATCACTGCATGATGCATTTACTCAGAGAGGAACCGTGTCATATTTATTTACTCATTCACATATTGGTTCTGGGGATTGAACCCAGGCCCTTCACACTGAGGTACACAACCAGCCCTTTTCTAATTTTTTAAAATTGTGAGACAGGATCTTGCTAAGTCACTCACTGGTCCTGGAGGAGACAGGAAGAATCTGGAATGGGGATGTCCTGAAGTCAGGTCCCTTACTAACGTTGTTACTCATTTTCTGTCATTCAAACACTGATGCAGATATCCTGGCACAGTTACCTTGGTCGCTTATAGCAGTGTATCTGTAAGACACACTGGGGAGAGTAGACTGGGTTAATCTACCGAATTGTGCACACAGAAGCGTTGGTGAGTTGAATTACTGCTGTGATTCACTTTGACAGTGCCTCCAGAGGAAGGAGTCGTGTGGCTACTGCTCCTAGGGAGTGCAAAGCGGAGCATCATAGGAGGCAGAAGACGGACACACTTGTGGTGGACACACGGCAGGACGGACTGGTAAACTTCTACTAAACAAGGCCACTAGATTTTTACCATCATTGTTCTCATAGCATCAGCCAGGTTTCCCACAGAACAAAGCAGTCAGATGTGGGGACAACGACAGCTGTGCAGCGTGTTTGCTGTGGCATCATTTGAAACACAAATAAATGGAAAACAATTGGTATTCACATGAAGAGAAGAGGATGAACGAGCTGTGGGCTCCACGGTCGTGGAATTCTCTACCTGCTTGGCTACAGATGTGTTGCTGGGACGGTGCTGAATGGCACAGTGTGACTGGAAATGTGTCGTGTGATGTGTGGTGCCAGTTACGTGGGAAGAGTAGATGGAGTCGGCGGATGCAACTCCCTGGCTCCCCTGAGCACCCCATAAATTTGATCTCTTGCACTCATCAATCGGCAACACCACCCTCCCCACTGAGGACGTGGAAGCTGAGTCAGAGAGGTGCATTAGGTTGCTCAGAGCCACACAGCTAGCAGCTCCCAGCCGCTGCTTCCTCACTGCCCATCCGACCTCGTGCGCCCTGTGCTCCTGGACGCCCATGGCCCGGCACTCAAAGACCCATGGAGCCTCCTTAGTGAGGAGCGGGCCCAGGGCTCTGCTCCCTGAGGCAGAGAAGTGGCAGGAGCTTGGGTCACAGCGAGGGCAGGGCTCGGCACTCTCTGGGTATCTTTCCTCCTCCCAGGCACCAGGCCTCCAGTGTGGGGAGGAGCCCTCGCCCCAGCCTGGCGTGGTGCTCTGAATGCTCATGTCCCCTTAGCAGGGACACTCACCTCCTCTCGGAGTCCTGACAGGACGGTCCTGGGCGGGCCTGGGGGGCTTCAGGTCAGTGCTCACCACCCATGGGTCTTCCTATTGCCCAGCGCCGCCTCCTTCCCCAGCTGCACCCGGGCTGGAGGCGGAGGTGGTGACGGTGTGTGTGTGTGGGGGAAGCGGGCGTCCCACCCTCCTCACGTTCCTACCCACGCACCTTGGAGCCATTCTGAGCATCTCCGTTCCTGGCAGAGATTTGACGGGGCTGGGACTCTTCACTACGAGGAGGAACAGACATCAAGATGTCTCCGCCTCAAGTCCTCCTGTGGGGAGATGTAAAATCTGATGACCCATGCAGGGGGCTTTGCATATGGTCTGCAGTTTGGAAAGTTCCGGAGGAGCAGAGGGTGCTGGCACTGGAAAGATGAAGGCCAGTAGGGCTTCCCCTGCCTCAGTGAATCGTCCACTTATTTCTGGAAGCAACTTCACTGAGCGCCTCATGTGCGCCAGGCCCTGCTGTGAACGGTGCCCTGAGCGGGGCCATGAGGCCCTGTCTTCTGCAGGACCCACTTCCTGCTCTTGGTTCGCTGTGTGCACAGAGGTGGCGGAGGACTGGGTGCAGGGGCTCTGTCTGCTCTGTGAGGGCGACCAGGGCAAGCGCTGGGAAGGAGGCAGCGTGAACGGGGTTTGAAGGGGACTGAGCTGAAGGGCAGGCCAAGGGCGGGCGCGGGGCCCACAGGTGGGGCAGCCTGGGAGGTCACCCGGAGGGGAGCAGGATGCGTCCGGGTCACGTGGTTCGGGGTGCCTGGAACCGAGACCGAGGTGGGACCTTTGGTTCCTCATTAAGGAGATTTGGCTCGATCTTATGACAAAAGACATTAAGTCGCTTTTGTACTACAAAATAATTTTATCACAAAAGCAATGTATGCTTAACACAGGTTTTTGAGACAGGCAACAAAATGAAAAGCAAAGCCAGGCCTCCCAAGATCTTCCACATCATAATGACATTATGGCAGCGATTTCCCAATCCTTTCCTATGTCCAGATCCACGCTGCAGTTAAAAATTGAAGCATCCTTACACTACCATATGTATGGCTCTTTATTTAACTTGGCTTTTTCGTATCACAGTGCACAATTGAGCTCTTCCCTGGAGGGAAGTACTCGTGACTCCACTGAGGTGTGCTGGACTAGACTTTACTTGGCTGTGTACTGTCGAGTGGAAGTCCTTCCCAGAGGTTTTCCAATAAAAAACATAAAATCTCTTCCACTTCATTACCACAAACATATTCGATTGTTTTCCGTGCAAAAATTCTTACAGTTATCTTCTGAGGCAGCGTTTGCGCACACTCACACAGGAGCTGTACGTCCCTACAGAAACATGGAACTCATTTTGGTTAATACCTTTCATTATTACTGACATTTACAAAAGTCTCATTCTCTTTGAATTGTTTTTTATCTTCAGAAAACTTCTTTGGAAAGACATGTAGATATTTATAATTTTTGTTTAAGTGTCTCATTAAAAAATTATTTAAATTTTACTGTAAATTTCCATTTTATTAATATATTATGCTCTTATACCAATATATGAAGATACTGTTACTTCTTTTTAAATAATTTCATATTTCACAATATGGAGGTGCAATAATTTATTCAATCCATATTATCAAGGAATATTCACATCATTTCTGGTTTTCACTTAAAGCAATGCTGCAATAGCATTCTTATACATATGTTGTATGGAGTCATACTTTAATTTCCTCATGAGATTTTAGCAAGAGTGGAGATGCTGGGTCCAAGTGTAAGTACAATTTAAAAATTTTAATATTTGCTCCTACTCTGCTCTCTAAGAAGGTTCAAACAGTTTATGTTACCACCAGCAATATATGAGAGAGAAAGGACCCTCTCTCCTTAGCTCTCTAGGGGAATGATTGTTACCACAATTATTTTGATTTTTCCCAGTGTGGTATAGTGATGATATAACTCATTGTAGTTAGCAATATCAGCTAGTACTCATGATGGTTTTATTATCATTGGTCATTTGCATTGTTTCATCGATAATTTGTCTATTTATAACTCCCCCATCTGCCCTAAAATACATGTCACATATGACTTGAAAGCCTATCTTAAAAGTGTGGTATTGATTGCTTTAGAAAATTGCTTTAGAAGATTGCTTTGGCAGTTCCTTAAAAAGTTAATCATAGAGTTAACTTATGACGTAGCATATGTTCTTCACCTGGACTTAACTCTACACCTGGATATAAACTCAAGAGAACTAGAAGCATACATGAATTAAAAATTATAAGTGAGCAACATTAATTCATAATAGCCCAGGGGCTGGGGATTTAGCTCAGTGGTTCTGCCACCTGCCTTGCAAGTGCAGGGTCCTGAGTTTGATCCCCAGTACTGAAAAAAAGAAAGAAAATTCATAATAACCCAAAGTGGAAACAACCCACATATCTATCAGCTGCTGAGTGCATGAATAAAATATACTATATCCATGCAATGGAACATTGTTTGGTCATTAGAAATGATACTGCTACTAATATGTGTGAACCTCAAACTGTTATGCCAGGTAAAAGAAGAAAATCCAAAAAGCCTACACATTGTATGTCTGATTCTATTTCTATTCAGTCTCAGAGCAGGAGGTATATTACTGGTTTCTTAGGACTTCAGATAGGGATGACATTGAAAGTGACTTCTGTTTTGTACAGATCGCTCTTGTGAACAATCAAACTGCTTTGGAACTGGATAAAGGTGATGATTGAACAACTTTGTGAGCATACTAAAAACTTTACACTGAACCTCAGTCCAGCTCAGGACCACTTCAGGGTTCTCCAGAAAGCTTCCTGCACCTCCCTGTTCCGCAGGCAGTAGATGACCGGGTTGCACATGGGCGTGACCACCGTGTAGACGACCGACAGCACCTTGTTGAGGTCCATGGCTTCGATGCGGCTGGGGCGGGCATAGATGAAGATAGTGACTGAGTAGAAGATGCCCACCACCACCAGGTGGGAGGCGCAGGTGGAGAAGGCCTTGTGTCTGGCGGCGGCTGAGGGCATGCGGAGCACAGCCATGGCGATGGCCACATAAGAAGCCAAGGCAACCAGGAGTGTCCCCCAGAGGATGACGATGGCGGAGATGAAGTCTACCAGCTCTGTGAGGGCCACATGGGTGCAGGACAGGTTGAGCAGAGGGGAGACGTCGCAGAAGAACTGATTGAGGACGTTGGGGCCACAGTAGGTCAGGCTGGCGATGCACGTGGTCTTGGCCACAGAGACCACCAGCCCACCCAGCCAGGAGGACGCGGCCAGGCCCAGGCAGACCTGGGGCCGCATGAGCAGCGGGTAGTGCAGTGGGCGGCAGATGGCCACGCAGCGGTCATAGGCCATGGAGGCCAGGAGGGTGCACTCTGTGCAGATGAGGGAGATGAAGAAGAAGAGCTGGGTCATGCAGGCTGCGAAAGGAACATAGAAGGGCCCAGTCCACAGCCCTGCGAGCAGCGTGGGCATGGTCACCGACACATAGCACATCTCCAGGCCGCTGAGGTTGCCCAGGAAGAAGTACATGGGCTTGCGGAGCTCACCGTGGGTGCAGATGAGGTAAATGATGAGTGTGTTCTCCAGGAGGGTGAGCAGGTAGAGGGCCAGGAAGATGGCAAAGAGGGTGTCCCTGCTGCTCAGCCTGGTGGACAGGCCCAGGAGGACAAACTGCTGCACACTGGTCAAGTTGGCCGGCTCCAGGGACCTCTGCATCTAAGAACCAAAGATATCTACAAAGTATTTTAGGGGGCAGAGATTTAGCTCAGTGGTTCTGCCACCTGCCTTGGAAGTGCAAGGTCCCGAGTTTGATCTCTGGTACCAAAACAAAAATGTGTATTTTTACAGACTGATTTCTTTTATGTTTAATGTGGAGTTTTCTACCATTAGAGAAGAGAATTGGCCATGGTAATTTTCTAGAAAGTTGTTCCTTTTAGTACCTTTGTTGAGTGATTGTATCAAGGTTTATTTGCCAGTCTCATCTTGATGGATATTTGATTTCTTCCCTTCACCCGATGCTATCCACAATGCCATGTATATCACCTTTGTATGTTTCTATCCGCCCTTGAAATCAGTCACAAGAGCCTGTTCACCATGATCCCATCCATGTGTGTGCTCATTTGAACTTTTGAAAGAATGAGGTTTACAATCCCAGAAGTTTTTCTGTCAGCTACTAGCAATACATCTCTATATCTCTACCCATATTGTGCATTATCACTTCCTGATCTTTGCAAACTTGACAAGCAATAATGATATATATTGGTGGTTTTCAATGTGTATTTGTGTTTTATATATATATATATGTATATATATATATATATATATATACACACATATATATAAAATGTCTTCGTATGTTTAAAATTAATTTGCATTACCTTTTGCCCAAACCATTTGTCCATGTGCCTTGCCCACCTTGTTTCCTGGATTGAATCCTTTAATTAATTTTTTTGCTGTAGATACTTTAGGTATGAAGAGCTGGGATTCGGGAGGATGACCTATTTGCTGGAGACCACGAACTGTGGAAGTACCCAAGCAGTAATGGGACCCAGAGGCTTCCTGAGCACAGTGATGGGGCACGTGTTTCCAGAGAATGGGGTGGGGTCCCCCAACATTGCCAGACTAACTGGGAGGAAAGAGTGTTTCAGGCTAATAATTAACTGGGGCAACCTCAAGTTGTATTCATGGGGTATTAGACTGTCGATGTTGGAAGTGTCTTGGTAAGTGTCTAGTCTACTTCACTGAGAGTATAAGTGTAGAGAATGAGACACAAGACACAATCTTCTCCCATCGAGATTCTCCACAGCCTTTATCCCCTGTTGCTTTGTGAGTTTCTCTCTTCTCCATCTTTAAGAGCCTCTTGGCTCTGACCCCCGTGGAATCTCTCTCTTCAGATACTTTGCGACACTAACAGGCCAGGTCACTCAACATTTCAGATTCACTATTTCTTCACATGCACGATGAGGATGGACACAACTTAGCTGATGGAGCTTTTTGAGAGTCCTATGCAAAAGTAGAGATTCTAGGGGAGGAGGTTCAGCCACAGAGAAATTGTAGCTACTGTTACTATCCATTTGCGTTTGTTAACATTGGAGCTGTAGGTTCTTAAATTATCAAAGGACTCAGTTGTCATATTATCAAAAGTAGGATATGTGCTACTAATGCAGGATGACTTTCGGTGGTGGGTGGACCCGGTGTTGAATGATAGTGATTCACCAAATGTGATTGCTATCTTTTGTAAATTCTTTTTTGATCATAGTTATTACATCGAGGGAAAAGTCTCAGATTGATACTAATGCACTTTGGTCTTGCACTGTCACTTTCTAAACTTTCCTCCTAACAAATAGGGAGGAAACCTCTGCTCTTTTCAGCAGCTTGGGTTTTACAGCTAGAACTGGAACAATTTGCTGTTGTTTTACTCTGTTGGATTTTGCTTCTATGGTCACCTTGTATTTGTGGCACGTGGTACTGACTTTCTTCTCTAGAAAGGAATATAATTTCCCTTTAATATAGTTTGTATAAGAAAAATAAGTTTTTAAAAGAAAAGTGTTAAGTAAACAACAGCCCACACTGCCCAAAGGTATAGCAGGAATTTGGAACATGACCACTGAGTGTTTGAGCTTAGGAAACTCTGGGCCGGTGCACCTTAGTCTTGCAGATAAAGTGAACGATCACTCATTACAGACAGAGCTGCAGGGAGCTCTCTACTAAGCCCGGGTTCAACCACAGGTGCAAGTGCAGCAGGGCAGGGCTTTCCCAAGCCCCGGAACAAGCACTTTTCTTGGCTCTGAAATGCTTCATGCCCAGAGAGCTGCCCTTGACCATCTCTTCAGCAAAGTCTCTGTGCAGCCCAGCAGTGCTGCTCACCCCAAATAAAGGCCACGGTGATGTTGTTCTGTCCTCTCTTGTCTTCTGCCTTCAGCAGGTGTTTGTTGGTTTTTTCAAAGTAAAACAGGCACACTACTGAAACCCGGGCTTCCCTGTTCAACCTAAGGATCCTCTGAGCAGATCACTTCACCTCTCTGAGCCCCAGTTGGTTCAAAAATAACCACAGATTCTGATTGCTGAAATAAACACTGGACCCAACCATCATTTCCACTTTTGGAATTTAGTAAGTGTCAATTATTGTGTGATTTATACTCACTACAGCACTGACAGATAAGTATTAATGTCCCATTTTGAAGACATAGAAATGAAGGACTAAAGAGTCGTTTTTCCCCCAATCCCTCATCGATAAGTAGCAAAACACAGACTCAGCTTCCTGGGTCTGGTTGGATTTCTAACGCTTAGTTTTCTTCCTTATGTCTTGGAATGTTTTAATGAAAATTATTTTAGGAAAACGTGTTTACCAAAGAGAAAAAGAAAACGCTTCTTTCCCAGTCTAGGAAGGAAATTATAGGGCCAGAAGCTTTCGGAAACACTGAGTGACACCCTCACTCTGGGAAGGTGGTAGCCCAAACCTCCACAGAGGGCGGCCTTGCTGCTGGGATGGCGGTGACCTGGGGCGGACTTGAGCGTCCGCAGACGTGAGGCAGCCGCAGCACCGTCCCAGGCTGAGATGCCGTGAATGGGCCCTGTCTCATTGCCCCGCTGCCCTTGAGCTCCTCTCCCCATTTTACCAATGCAGGGTGAGACGCTCAGGAAATAGTATTAATTTGTTCCCGGCCCCTCCACAAATGATAGAGCTGGTACCCCAGTTTGGTTTACAGCCGAAGATTTGCATCACAGAGTCATATTCATCTGCTAGTTTGGTTGTCTTGATCTCAATCCGTGTGATTACAACTCTGACTTCGCAGAGGATGCTTACTGCTCATCTAAGTTGTTTCCTTTGTTCCAGTAGAGAATGAAGCTGTCCCGCGTCCTGATTCGCCTCTGTGCTAGAGCCTCAAGCCCTGAGCTGTCCTTGTTCCTAAAATGGTTCCCAAGAGATCCTCTTTGTGTGTGTGATGCTAGCTCTGCCCCAGGCGCCCTGCTTAGGAGGGAGGCGGCCCGGTTCCGAAGCTTTGAGTCCTAGACCACCCGGCCGCCGCGCTGGGCCGGCTTCCGAGGCGCTGTCCTCGGTCCTGAACGCGCCCGGGCCAAGCCTCAAGCCCTGAGCTGTCCTTGTTCCTAAAATGGTTCCCAAGAGATCCTCTTTGTGTGTGTGATGCTAGCTCTGCCCCAGGCGCCCTGCTTAGGAGGGAGGCGGCCCGGTTCCGAAGCTTTGAGTCCTAGACCACCCGGCCGCCGCGCTGGGCCGGCTTCCGAGGCGCTGTCCTCGGTCCTGAACGCGCCCGGGCCAAGCCAAATCTGGCCGCCGACTCTCCCAGATTCTTCTTTTCTGGGTCTTTCTCTCCCCTGCAGGACTCTTTCGTGCTCTGCTCACTCCTCCTCCCCCTTCTGTTTTCGCTGCGTCTCCTGGGCTCTACTCAGTCTCCCGCTAACGAGGACTCTCGCGGCTCAGACCTCACAGCTTGCCGCGCTGCGCTCCGAGAGGGCTTGTGTTACGTCAGAACAAACACATGCAGGTTCAGAAGTCACTTTTGTAACCCTTCGGTGCAGAACCGACACCCGAGGTCCGTTTGGCGCTTTTGTTTCCCTGCTGAGCTTCCCCAGCGTCCTCCATGCCCATGCGCACGAATGCAAAGCAGGCCTGTGGGGATGCGGCCTTGGTCTACCAGAGGGGCTTCCGACCAGAAGCTTCCTTACCAGCTAAACGCTTAACCTGTTGGCTGCCAGCTGCCCCTTCAGGGGAAAGATGGGTGTAATTATCTTCGTTACAAATTAAATGGTGCCTGCACCGTTAGTGAGAGCATGTGGGGTTGACTCTGATTAGTAGAACCTTCTTCATAGCTGTGAAAATTTTGAACAACTTACATGTCCTCATAGATCCTGTTTCCTTACATCCACACTGGGGGTTATTGAGTACCTACTGCATATGCACCCCACTTAAATCACAATAAATTAATTGTTGTTAAATAAAGTGCCGCTGAGCATATCTGTTATCCTTATGATATGCACGTTTTTATTAATCCAGTGAATGAAGCATTGTTGGCCACATTTTGCAAGAGAGAAAATAAAGATCGGGGAGGTGAGGAAGCTGACGGAGTCCATCAGATCTGACTGCCGATTCTGAGGCCAGTGCTCATTCTTCTGGACTGCGGTGCCCATGGAAAAGGTTGCATGTGTTCGAATCCACTTCATGAAGCTCCCTTCTGCCTAACCTCTCAACTAGATTTTGATTCTACATGCCGGTTTAAGAGGCAGCCACCTAAACCGTGTGGCGGGGTAGAGGTCAGAGGAAAGAGCAGTCACTTTCAGAAGAAAGGACTAGGAAAGCCTCCATAGGACTGGACTTTCTAACTGGCCCTTGAGGAGCAGCAGGATCCTGAAAGTTAAAATGTGTACAGAGTCTTGGGCACATCAAGGGCATCAAGATGTGCTTGCTGTTCAGCGAGCCACTTGGCTATTTGGGAACATAGACAAATTTTTAGGCCCTGGTTTAGGTATTCCTTTCAGTCATCCCTTCAGGAAAGCTTGGTATTGTAGAAAAATTCAGACTTTATAATCACATGGACCTGGATTTGAGTTCTAGGCAATCCAGTGCTTAATTGTATGAAAACAAGTTTCTCCATCTTCTAAATAAGAAGGGCATCTAACTATACAGCAGGATCATGGAAGAACTGATATAATGCAGGGAAAGCACTAAGCAAGGGCCTGGCAAAGAGCCCATTGCT